TTGGTTATCAAATTACCATATTGTTAAAAATTGTCTCTTAATTTTTTGCCTGAAACTTATTTTACTATTTTCTTTGTTTTTAGAAAGTCTATAACTGTATGATCTGTCCAAATAACCTCAATTACTGAACAAATTAATTATTGGCAAAATAACATCCTATAAGAAATTCATTTGATCTAATAGAAAGATGGTAAGGATTCTAATAATAGATGGTTTTGTAATAAGGAAACTTTCTCCATGATAAGTTAAAAGAGGACATGATTGCCACCGGCCTTGAAAGAAACTATCTCTTGATTCAACTTAGGCAGCTATTGCCCTGGTACAGTTTTCCCTTTTGGGGAAAAATTGTACAAAAGATTAAAGAGGTTCAGTTTCAGAAGACATTAGTAAATGAAATGGATTACTATATCTAGGATTCTTTTAATCTGGATTCGTAACTGAAAGTGAAATGGAAACTGAAGTTTGCAGATGACACCAAACTGACAGGAGTAGCCAACACCCCAGAAGACAAACTTGGGATCCAAAAAGATCTTGACAAACTTGAACAATGGGCCCTATCCAACAAAATGAATTTTAGTGTGGAGAAAAGCAAAGTCTTATATTTAGGCAGGAAAAACCAAAGATATAAATACAGATTGGGCGAGACCTGGCTTAAAAACAGTAACTGTGAGAGGGATTTTGGAGTCCTAGTAGACGATCACTTGACTATGAGCCAGCAGTGTGCAGCAGCAACCAAAAAAGCTAATACAATCCTGGGTTGCATAAACAGAGGCATAGAATCAAGATCACGTGAAGTATTATTACTGCTTTATAAAACCCTAGTAAGACCACACCTGGAATACTGCAGCCAATTTTGGTCATCTTATCACAAAAAAGATGTTGAGAGTTTGGAAAAAATTCAGAGAAGAGCAACTAAGATGATCAAAGGCCTGGAGACTAAAACATACGAAGAACAGCTAAGGGACTTGGGTTTGGTTAGTGGTCTAAAGAAAAGAAGAAATAGGGGAGACATGATAGCAGTGTTCCAGTATCTGAGGGGCTGCCACAAGGCAGAGGGGGCCAGGTTGTTCACCAAAGCACCAGAGGGAAGGACGAGAAACAATGGTTGGAAACTGATCAAAGAGTGAAGCAACCTGGAACTAAGGAGAAACTTCCTGACAGTCAGGACAATCAACCAGTCACCACTGGAACAGCTTACCCTCAGAAATCATGGGCGCTCTATCACTGGAGATTTTTAAGAAGAGACTGGACATTCACCTGTTTGAGACGGTATAGGTTCTCCTGCTTGAGCAGGGGGCTGGATAGAAGACCTCCAAGGTCCCTTCCAGATTCTATTCTGTTCTGGTTTTCCCTATTAGACCTCAGTAGCTTTTTATATTGTTGATCATGGATCTTACTGAACTGCCTACATGATTGGAAGTTGAAGGCACCATTTTGTAGTGGCCCTGGTTTCAGAGTGTGCATGTTTGTGTGTACATGTGTTGTAGATGTAGTTGTGAGATTACTAGATACACTGCAGTTCAACAGTCTCCCTATTTAAATCTGTGAATCCACTGGGGAGAAGTCATCCATCAGTCTGGGGTGAGCTATCATCATTACTGATATCAGGCCAAATCAGAAGTCCTGTTGGCACAATCTAGTATCTGGAGACTGTGTTATGGGTAGAAACAAGTGCAAACTAAAGTCCAGTAAATGTATTTGTCTAGAAATAACTTGTTTTGGTAGTGTTGTAGATGGGGGTTGCTCTCCTGCTGAAGGAGCAAATGTGCAATTTGGGAGTCTTCCTTCTGCAGATGAAAACTGAATCAAGAAGGGCTTTCATCCAGTTGAGGCTGATATACCACTTCCAGTCCTACCTAGATCAGGATACCCGGGCAACAGTAACTCATTACCATATTACTACATGATTAGATTACTGTAACAGAGTCTCGGGGCAGCCTTGGAAATTATTCAGAAACTACAGTTGTTATAAAATGTAGTAACCAAGATTACAGCAAGTAAGCAACATAGAGCCTATTCTTTGGTTGATGCATTAGTTGCCAATTGGCTCCATTTCTAACTGCTGGTTTTTGACTTATAGAGCATTATATACCTTGGCTCTAGGTCTAGGATGCCTTTGAGATGACCTTGTCCAGAATCTTTCTAGCCTGTGTGTTCATGAAGGGATGTTGAGAGTTCAAAAGATACGGGCCTAAAGGCATTCTTTCCCTGTTTTGTGCCCATTCTTTGGAACATGTTCACAGAAGCTCTGCTGGCATTTTTTTTTTTTTTTTGAGTTCTCCATAGGGCCGAATTTTATTTGAACAGGTATGTTGGCATTATACTGGTATCATTTGGCTGATCAAGTAACAATCTGTATTCTACATATATTGATTTAAATATAACTTTTGTATTTATTGTACATTTTGAGGGATAGGTTGATCTATCGCCCGGTCTCCAACCTTCGCTTTGCGGCGAAGGTTGTTGAGAGTGTGGTTGCGCGGCAGTTCCCTCGCCACCTGGATGAAACAGATTATCTAGACCCATACCAGTCGGGCTTCAGGCCGGGACACAGCACGGAAACGGCATTGGTCACGTTGGTAAATGATCTCTGGAGGGCCCGGGACAGGGGTTATTCCTCTNCCGGTACGCTCCCACAGAGCGGGCCTCCTCAGGGTGCCGTCGGCCAAGCAATGTCGGCTGGCGACCCCCAGGGGGAGGGCCTTCTCTGTGGGTGCCCCCACCCTCTGGAACGAACTACCCCCCGAGATCCGGACGATCCCGGATCTCCTAACCTTCCGCCGCGCCCTCAAGACATGGCTTTTTCAGCAAGCGGGACTGATCTAGGGTGAATTTTAAATAGGGAAAATTTTTTAAAGATTTTAATAATGTCACAGCTATAAATATTTGGTTTTAATTGGCTTTTATAGGGGAAATGTTTTTGTGTTGTTTTAATGTGCTGTGAGCCGCCCTGAGTCCCGTGGGGAGAAGGGCGGCATATAAGTTAGTGTTAAATAAATAAATAAATAAATAAAATCTAGGCAATATAAAATTACAGTAAAAAAAATTGAGAGCAATTTCGTAAAGTGATTAAGGAGTGGGGAATCCATCTTCTAGTCCTGCCTTGAGCACAGAAGAGTGATTTTGGGCGAGTCACTGTCTCTCAGTCCTAGGAAGAAGTGGGAGATATAGAAAATTGAAATAAATTTAGCCAAACAGCTTGGGCTAATGCTTTAAATTTCAAGATGCTATACACCCAAAGAAGCCTTATTGAGTAACCCATAGCTGAGAAAACCATGGTTAATGCATAAATACAACATATGTGGATACTAAAACTGACCAGCTGAAAAAGAGCAGGGGAAAGATGGGCCAGTCAGTTGCTGGGGCAGGGAGGGAGGTTATCTCTGTTATGTTGTTTGTTCCTTGGTGGCTTAGCATGTTTAATTATTTTTACTATGGATGAACCAGGTGTTTTTTTAAAGATTTTTATCTCGCTTTTTTCATATGCAACTCAACGGTGGTGAGCCTATCAATAGTCCTTCCTCCTATTTTCCTCGCAACAACCCTGTGAAGAGAGTGACATTGAGTGACTGGCCAAAATCGCTCAGCCGGTTTTTCATGGCTAAGGCCGGGGAGTCCAACTCAGTCTCCCGATTTCTAGGCCGGCACCTTATTCTTTCAGAGTGTAATCTATTGTAGGGTTCAAATGCAGTACCATCTTGTATATAATTTTTCAGACGTTCAACATGTTCGAATCAGGGTTGAGAAAAACAATTCTCAGCTCTTAAAAAGGGGCACCTTAATTTTGGTCACATCCAGACTCCGAACTTCATTAAGATTTACTCAAGTCAACCAGCTCGTGAACAGCCTGGATATACCGAGAAGCGTAACCGTCAGCAGGTAGCATCCCATTTGGGGTGGGGGGTGGAGGGGGGGGCTGATCCAACGAAACGACAGACGCCCCGCAGACCCAGCCCAGCTGTGCGGAGGGATACAGGGCCAGACCTGCCTCGTTAAATAGATCCGGCTGTGACGGCCATTCACCTAGTGCGCAATCCCGAAAGGGAGAAGAGGGCCGAGCGGCGTATTTGCGGGAGGCGGCCGAAAGCGCGCACGCGCTTCATCCCGATTCTAACGGCAGCTGGATTGTAAGTGTTCAAGGAGGCCGTCGTTATTGTCGCGCAGGAGGCAGGGAAAAAAGCGGAGGCGCTCCGAGAGAGGGAAGAAGCCGGGGGTGGGGTGGGAGGGCTGTGCGCGTCCATGTGCTCACGTTTCGGCGCGCGCATTCCGCGTTCCCTGGTGAGCGAAGCCGGGGATTTTTCCCCCCCTACCAGGAGATAAGCTCTGTTTATCTCGCGAGAGCTTTAGCGAAGACGTTTGTGCGCCTTCCCTTTTCTCGCTTAATGCTGAAGAAAAAAATAAATTATGATGAAGGGCGCGTGCGCGAATGCCCTAGCCCCCTTTTCTCTCTTCGTTTCCCACTTTCGCTCCACCGAATGAGCGCGCGGTCTCCTTTCCTATAGCGGCATTTGAGCGTTGCTGGATTCCACCAATCGGGAGGCACTCAGGGGCGGGAGATCACGCGGGCGCGCGTTGTAGGCCCGCCTCCGCCCCAGGGGGGAGGGCGGTGGCGGAGGAGGCGGGACCTATATCTAGCTCCGCCCTTTCCTTGGCCTCGCCGGCGGCGGCGGTGGCGGCTGAGCCTGAGTTTAACTGCGTTCTTCCCCCGTTCCTCTCCGAAGGAGGTTGTCGCGGAGCCGTCGCTGCCCTTTTGCCGGAGAGGCTCGTCGGGAGACATCCGCCGATCGAAAGAGGCGGCGCCGTTGACGTCGCGGCTGGTGTTCGGTGCGGGCGGGCGCCCCCGGCTGTTTCCGGAGGAAGGAGAAAAACGCAGGCAGCGAGCGAGCGAGCGACTCCATCCCCCACCCGTAGGGAGGGAGTGCGGCAGCGGCGGCGCAGACAGGCCCGACGAGGCGGAGGCGAAGGAGGCGCAGTTCGAGTGACCCCCCCCGGCCGCGGCGGCCACCACCACCACCACCACCACCACCCTCACCGCGACGCTCTCCCCGCGCAGAAGGAAGGATGGCGCTGAAACGCATCAACAAGGTGAGCTGGGCCCCCGAAGCGGCCTCGGCCTGCCGGCTTGGCCGAGCCGCCGTGCGGAGGAAGAAGCCGGGAGGGAAGGCTGCCGCCTGCCTTTGCCCTGGGCGTTGGGCAGCGGCCCTCGACGGCTCGGCTGGGCCCGGTAGGAGCGTTACGGGCGGACGGGAGGTTGGATTGCCGGCCGCCCGGCTCGCCGCCATCGGGCCCGGTTGTGGGGTGGAAGTGGAAGCTGTCGGAACGGGCCTTTGGGACCGTTGGGACTCAGGGGGGATCGCGGAGGCTCCCAAGCTGATTCGTCCTCCCCGGAGTCTGTTCGGCTGCCGCCGGCCGTCGTATCTGCCTTCGTTGAAATTACAAAGCCGCCTGTTATGGTAGCTTACCCCCCGGGCCCCAGTCGTTTCGTATGGGGAACAATGAAAAAAGTAACCCGGATCGCCCTGTGTGCGTGTTTGTGTGTATATGTTATGTACGTGTCTGTGTGCGGCGTCTGCCTCCCATCCGCCGTCGGTTTCTGTGCCCCGGCCAGGAACTTCTTTCCCGCATTGTAAGATGGCGGCGGGCTTGCCAGTTCAGGCGCTCCCCGGGATCTCTTTCTCTCTCTCTCGCTCGCTCTTTTTTCTTCGCTCGCTTTCAGCAATAATATGACTGACACACGCAAGCTCGTCTCCGTTCTCGGCCCACCTCCATTGCAGCTGCTGGTCGGCCTGGCCCAGAGGCCTTAGCCTTTTTTGTTAAATGCGGAATCCTTGTCTTTTGCCTCCGCTCCTGACAAGGAGCGGAAGTATGTGGTGGTGGCGGCTCTGTGATGCATCGAGAATGTCGTTCTTGCACAATCTAGAAGGAGGGTGGAGTAAGGAGCTTAATGTGAACTGAGTGTCGTCGTGAGGAAGTTGGTTCCTATTTTGAGTTTAGAGGCTCACTTGTTCTGGCAGAGGGTGCGGTTTAGGTAACTTTGTCACCCACCTAGTTTCACTGGCGACGTTCCTGTAAACTAAGGGTCAAGTGTGTTTTTACAAATGGCTAGGGCAGGGGTAGTCAACCTTGGCTCTTTTATGACTCGTGGACTTCAATTCCCAGAATTCCTGAGCCAGCTTAGCTGGCTCAGGAATTCTGGGAGTTGAAGTCCACGAGTCATAAAAGAGCCAAGGTTGACTACCCCTGGGCTAGGGTCTTGGAAGTGCTAGTGACTTGCTTAAAGCTTTAACTATCCTTACGTTTGGAGATGTTTTTTCTGCCTAGCATTTTTCTGGCAAGTTCAGGGTGGGCTTGAAGATATTCTGTCCCTATAAAAGCTGTTTATAGTTAGTGCGTGTAAAGCATTAGATCAGCTGTAATAGTTGGACCACCTTTTAGATTATATTTTAGATCTATAATCTTTGACTTGCCACTTTTTCTGTTTGTGTTCAATATTAAATATGAATAGATGTAAACTTACATATAAAACTTGTTCCCCTGCAGTAGAGAATAACAACTCAAGGGAGTCACCCAGCTTTAAATAGTTTTCAAAACAACACAGAGGCAGAATATGTAGCAGCTTCAGTCTTGAATGTTTTGTTTTTTTCCTAATGTATTAAATGCTAAAGAATTGAAAGATAATCAGAGTCCTCCTGACAAAAGAGGCGCTCATATTATTGGCATTCCATTTCATCTTATTCACAAAGTCAGATTTGATTTAAAGTCTACTTGTAGGTAGTAGCTTAATTTATTGAAGCTGGGATTCTATAAATAAGAATGTAGTTGTAATAACCAAGTTTTAGAATTTAAGAGTTTATGGCTGTAATAGCATATCTTTGGTAATGTAACTGGTGTTAACTGAAATCAATGCATGTGATATGTTCTAGAACTCTCAGAGCTGATGTCTCACTTTTATCTGGTTTACCTAGGCTGTAATGAATGCATTTTTATCAGTAACACCCTTATAATGTAACATATAGACTGCCTGAGAAATGTTTCCTGGTTTGTTTGTTTTTTGTCAAATACTGGTAGCTCAAGGTTGAACTTATGGCCAGAGCCAAGTAACTAGTGGTGTACAAAATATTTTCAATTTAAAATTGTTATTGCAGATATCCTGGAAGTGTTCCAATCCTGTTTCAACCATTCTAGAAGTATTCTAATTTGGAACAGTTCTGGAATGGTCAGAACTAGTCTAACAACAGCAGAACAAGTTATTCCAAACTTGAAACAACTCTCAAGTTTGAAACATTTTGAATTAGAAAACATTTTGTATACCGTTAAAAATTATTGAAATGTGAATCAGTTCAAGTAATATTTAAATGTTCATTATTTAAATATTATCTAAGGATCTTCTATGTTCCTATTTGCTACTTTTCTCTATACTTTTGTTGCAGTTTTTTTTTATAAACTTTGAAACCACTACAAAAGCCTCTTCTTGAAAACCCTAAAAGTAACCCTTGCATGCTTAGTCAAAGTAAATGAAAACAAGTGGCTCACATTTATGATAGAACTATACCATTAATTTAGTAAACAAGTAATTATGGATAGGAGTTGTTGCTTTAGATAACCAGGTGCACTCAAGATTTCTTACTCCCTGACATTCAATAGTCGAGACACAATAATTCAAAATAGTCCCAGGCCTCAGATTGTCAATAATTACTGAAGAAATAATTCTCAATTTTGTTTCTCTTAATATATTGGCCAAATTTTAGAGATTGCATACCACCTACAAACTGAACATTTGTAAAATTCATACTATAAATACGTATCAATCTTCAGCTATAAAATTAGAATTTACTAATTGTCTTGGTATGTTTAATTCAAGGAATACTTTTTATAAAGTGTGTACTATATCCTACTTTATTACTTTTGCTTGTTCCTTCATCCCAGTAGGTGTGGTTAAACCAAGCAATCTATTATTAGTTTTTGTATTACTTCTGAGTACTGATTGTTTGGAATTGATAAAATGCCAAATAAATATGATGGAAGTTACTGTCTGGATACTTTTGTTGAGATAATAACTAAACAAACAGGATTGAGAAAAGTACATCAATATGCACATTTAATACACAATTCTGTAAAATAAAGAATAAATATTTAGCCATACTGATTTATTGCAAAATGAATAGTGGTATTTTTAGTTAAGGCAGCATCAATGGAATGTCAGTTGTAGTTCCTGCCACCAGTCTTGTTTATGAATGTGACAGAAAATTCAGTTACTTGCTAATTGAGCATAGTAGTTTACTTAGTTTATTGAACTCAGTTTAAAAGATCTAGCTATCAGATGCTAACATTTCACTTCAAGCAAGTTAGCCTACCAATCAAAAATTTTATAAAAAAATTAACAGTTACATAGTACAATGAATATATTCAGGAGTGTTAATGAAATGTTTTATTGTAGATAATGACCAGTCAATACAACAAACAGCAATACAAAGACATTAGACAGCATTGTGTTGCATATTTTATTTATGACAAATCAGAAGATAGATGGATTGTGAGAAGTATGTCTCCTGAAGCATAATATTGTCATAAAATATTGTTGATGAGATAGGTGAAATTAGAATCCGGTGTAGCCATGATGTAAAAGGGAACATAGTAAATTGATAACTTAAAACACTTTAGTCCATTGCATTACTAATTTTTTTCATGGTTCTATTTTATCAGTGTGTAGTCTGCATGGTGTCTTAGAGAACAGCTTAAACTTGTCCAGTAAAGATTTGGATAAATTGCATCTGTAGCTTTCTTAGTTCAATAGATCATTGTTACTTGATATGCATGATACTTAACTAGCTGTTCATACTTGATAAAATGTCATTTTGTATATTATATTTTTGCATTTATATTAAAATTCTGTTTGTTTTTACAGAGCTTCATCTTTTTCATTGTATACTTTAAGGTTTCTTTATTATAGTGAATGATCCTATATCAAACTATTTTCTAATAATTGTAGTGGTTTTGTGTTCCAAGATATTTGAAATGTTTGTCATTTGAGGCCTCTAATTTCAATTAATATTTGTTTGGAGGAAATAAAAGTTACAAAAAATCAGGAGATTTCGTGATGTAGCTTCCATTCAGCTGTATATTTAACTGGATACTTTTGAATTAGTTACTATCCTTAGCTAACCTTACAGGATTGTGACTATGATGTAGTGGTAGTAAACCTATTGCCTCCTAAAGAAGATATTTAAAAAATGTGAGCATGTCTATCCTCCCTAATTTTTTTTAGATCAGGCTTAAAATAATTATGAATTTGATTTGATAACATTAAATTTGCTATGTTGTACATAACATAGTGCCAAATAGTTCACCTTTAATAATTTAGATGTTAAAATTTATCTTGTATTGTAAATGTTCTAAGACTCCTTACATTAATCTGGCTTTGGCCATGTCTACTGGTTTGTTAGAGGATGAAGAAGATTATATTTTTATTGGATAAAAAAATCTGTTATTTTTGCTGATGCACTCAATGTGATTTTATGAAATTTGGAAATGAACAGATTTAATTGTTTTAGTAGTAGTTGTTTAATCTGGTGCAAAAACACTTGCTAGCAAAATTAGTATACTGGATTAACTAATTTTCTTGTCATGTTGGTTATATCAGAAAGGAATTTTTTTTATATATACTACTAGGATGCTTTCTCTCCACCCCTCAACCCTGGTCTTAACCATATTGATAGGAAACTCACAGCATTTTCATCAGTAGGTCTATTACATTTATATTATTCACTATATTGATTTGATGGGAGGAAAATTGAAATATTTTAAGTTACTTAAATGTCATTACAACCATTAAACTGTAGCGTTGCTGACATTATGGAACAGCCCTCTGTAGAGACCAGACTGATTTCCTTTTTGTTGCTATTTCAGAAGCTTGTTTTGCAGAGCTTTCCCCTGCTGTAAATGTTACGATCTTTATTTTTAATTATTTTTATCTGTAATTCATATTGTATTCTATATTGTTTTTATAGCTTTTTTTTCCTTCCATGGATGTTCCCATCTGTACTTGTTCTAAGTAAGCTGCTGAAAATTTCTTTTGATTGCAGTAC